TGTGTGTGTGTGTGTGTGTGTGTATGTGTGTGCGTGTGTGCGTGCGTGTGTACGCTTCTGTACATTAAGTATCCGTAATATTTTGTACTTTATCATCCACTCACCGAGCTATCAACCGCCGGCTCAATAGGAACTTCTTTTACTTCCTCCTTGCGATCTTCATCGAATTCGTCACTAAAATCATCATCGTAACTATCCGAATCCGACCAGCTTGAGTCGAACAACTCCGCAGCGCTCAGAGGCGCTCCGTTATCGTAAATTGTATTAAACACAGAGTCTCGATACTGCTCGCTGTTTCGTTTACTCGAATCTCTAAGCGATACTGTCTCTTTGCTCGAGTCACTTCCTTTGCGGAGTTCAGGGGCGGGAAGTTCGGAGGTACCCGATGACGCTTGGGAGTTGGCGGAGCCGATAGATGGCTTAGGTGACGTCTTAGGGAGTACAGACGGTGGCAAGTTCGAACCTTTGCGGTGTTCGGGGGACTGTGGTGTGGCTGTAAGAGTATTGGGGGAGGTGGTGGGGGAGGTAGGTGATATGGATGAAATTGACGACGACTTCGTTCTCTGTGGGTGGGAGTTCGTCTCCAACGTCGAAGGTAAAGACGGTCTCTTCTCGGGCGAGAATTTTGGTTTTGAGCTGTAGTCCACTACTGGTTTTGGCTTGGAGGGGGAGGTTGGCACTTTGTTGTTACACGGGGGCTGGGGGGAGCGAGGGTTGTTGTGACGACGGGGAGACGAGCGGGGGGAGGAACGGGGAGACTGACTCCCTGACCTATGACCTCTCCTCCTGCCACGAGGCGAGAGCGAGGACTCTTTGGAAGCACGAGCTTTTTTCACCCTGTCCCCATTTCTTCCCGGAGAAGTCGTGTCTCTCTGAGAGGAAGAATGTTCCGAGGGGTGCGAGCTGGTGTGAGGGGATTTCCCATGTGACGTCACACCCGATGAAGGGGGTTTCCCCTGTGTCGGCGATAAGGGCTTGGCTTTGTTCAAACTTTCTGACGGCGACGTCGTTTTACCTGACGGAGTTTGTGTGGGCGAAGTCGGACTGTGTATATCCTCTATACTGTTGGTTTTGTGCCTCTCAGCCGCCTCGATCAGGTTTTTCACGAGACTTCTCCGCATGGCATCGTCCTTGAACATGGCCAGAGACTCTGCAACATCCTCACCCAGACCAGCAGCGGGCGAGTCATTCTCCATTTTCTTATCATGGTTCGCCAAGTCGTGGTCGTCATCGACATCGTCCCCATTGTTCACCAGTGCCCCCTGGTGGTTAATCTGCTCGGCTAAGGCTTTCACGTATCCTTTCGCCATGACGGCTTTAGAGAAGCGCTGACTCCTAGCTTGGCTGTGGTAGCTCCGCATCCATTTCTCAGCCCGGTCTGTTTGTGGACTCAAAGGAGGGGCAGAAGACGCTCCCGCAGACAAGCTCCTCAGCGATGAAGATGTAGAAAGGGGTGGAAGTTCGCTGCGAGAGCGGTGGAGTTGTGTGTTTCCTTGACGTGGCGCTGGCGTCTGGTCGTCTGAGCGATGAATCAGCTGTTGGAAAAGCGCTTCCTGCTGTCGCTTGACGTGCCCAGGGGTGATGGGAGAGCTGGTGGCCTGGAGGTCGGGTGGAGGGGCGACAAGCGGGGGAGATCTCGAGGGATCGAACTCAGGAACCTCAGACACAGACGACGGACGATGTTTCTGCAAATGTAAAGAGCCGGAGTGTTGATTATTATGGTTGTTGTTATTATGTTCCCCACTCCTTGTCTCGAGCCAATTTTCCTCGACAGAAGGTATATCAAGTTTCAGATGTTTCTTCCCACCCACTTCCGAAGCAGTATTATCATCATAACAGAACTGAGCAGAACAAGTGGCTTCTAAGATACACTCTTCAAGCCCGCCATCCACTCTTTGAGAAGGGTGACATTCAGAGGCGTTCGAAATAGTCTCGTCTTCACAACCAAAAACGTCTTCCTCTTCCTCCTCCTCGTTTTCACCCTCGTCACAATCCGCCTCGTCTAGGATCGGGGCGCTGCGTGAAAGATCCTGTCTCTCGTAAAGCAACCTCCGGCGAGGATTTCGGTTTTCTCCAACACTCGGAGAATCACTTTCCGAGCTCGCACAACTTCCGAGGGACCTGCTGTAGTTCTTGTTCGAGGTTAGCCCGGGGGGTGAGTCGACGCCACCGCTACAACCGTTGACCTCTGAGACCTGATCGTCCGGGCCAGGGTCGGGGTGAAGGTAATTAACGAATCTGTTTCGGTCGGCCAAAAGCTGTCGTCTGGAGTGCGCTTTCTGTTTGGAGTCCGGTGATGCCTTCCGGCCCAGGTTGGTGGCGCCAGTGATGAGCTTGTCCAAAAACTTGGGCCTGGATGGCGCTGTGAGAGGACACAAAATATATACGTTATAGCACATTATTATTTGAGGTTTTCTAAAGTTTTAGTATGAGTTTTAAGGCACTTTCAACACAATAAGGTATATAAATGCCGAAGAATAGGTGTGTTACAAGAGAGTAACATACACAAAAAGAAGGAGAGATTAGGACGAGAGATGATTGATAGGAAAGAAGGAGCAAACCACACCAGAGCACCCGCAAACCACCCACTGGTTTGAGTTTGGGTAAAGCGGGGCATATAGACACAATCACGGTGGTGTAGTGCAGGGAACAAGTAACACAGACATAACAGAGGAAAAATAAATAACAAGGATCTACCAGTGGCACCCTCAAATCACCCTCGGTTCATCAGTGTGGTTGTTAATGAGGTCAGTGTTCTCGTCAAGTTTTTTTCTGTAAGAACAACTCTTTGTGTTTTTTATTGTTACAATTCTTACAGAGGTAGCTTTTTTTTTGGGGGGGGGGGATAACTAAGAGTTTTAAGGCACTTGCAACACAATTAGTTCATACAAGTGACGAAGATTAGAGGCATTACAAGAGAGTAACAAACACAAAAAAGAAAGGGAGGTAAGGACGGCAGATGTTTGATACGGAAGAAGGATCAAATCTCACAAGAGCACCCACCAACAACCCAAATGATTTCGCAACTAAAAAAAGATTAACACCAACAAACCTGAAGAAATGGCACCGCCCTGCAAAATCCTTAAAAACGACTTATCTTCACAAATTTAGTCCACACAATCGCCAATCCTCCCACAAGGAAATAAGGTTTAACGACGGAAATCCCATTGGCATATAATCAAGATCTTGCCTTTGCAAAAGCGAAGAGAGGCTACGCTGTAAACTATGAAGACTTTTACGATTAGGCGCAAACTACACGGAGTTTATTTCCACATGTCACAGAGTGGGAAGACACAGAGTTAACAATAGCTTGAGGTTACATACAACAAATCTCTTTTTTACACTATGACCAGGTTGGCCTGTACTATACAGCTTTACTTTAACCCTATCCGTACGTCGGGTTCTACTATCGACGTGGGGAACTGTGCCACCACTTTCCAAAGAGGAAATTTACTCGTTAATCCGATCCGTACGCTTTGCATAGCTGTCTGTCAAAATGATTTTTGTGAAATATTGAAAGTTTCAAAGAGAACTTCGTACTAGAAGTATTCTAAAATGTGAAAAATACAACCCCGGGGGTGCAAAATGACCCCAGAGCGTACGAGGTTAATTTAGCCGAAACATGTAATGTGCTAAAACCACAACCCAGAACCACATACACTCAATATTGTTTTCAATATGAATAAAGACTAAAATTCGTGGTTCTTTGCACCTACAAAAAGGTAAACATCTTAGGGAAACGGAGGTTGGGGGGGGGGA